TTCGTCGATCGACTGTGTTTTGGTCAAGGTTGCGCTCAACTCTACTTGTGCTTCTCGATTGTTCTAGGTGTCGCGTCGCTTCGAGGATATTTCTATTGGCTTCCGAAGACTTTCATTTGGATATATTTACAGGCCAGGCCGTATTTTTTAACAGATACCACTATTGCTATTTCGGAAACGGTAGATCCGACAAGGACGATAAAACAAAAGTTGCCTATTTAGCGATGGAACACACTGGTATTTTCAGATCTATAAAATCATCAACGGTTTTTTTTGAGATATTTTCAAAAATCTGAAAATGACAGAATTTATTTTTTTGCTCTACCGCCTCTATTTTCAATAATATCAACAAATTTTTAATTATAATGACAACGAAAATGTCTAAAACAATATACAGGTTCGTATTTACAAAACATATATTGATGATGGAATTCAATGAACGAAACGTTGTATTGAAAAATGAGTTCATCCAGATTATGAAGCACATGAAATGAAGTAGAAAATTTTTAGTCATTTTTTGATATTATTGAAAATGGTGGCGGTAGAGCAAAAAATAAAATCTGTCATTTTAAGTTTTTTTGTGAATATCTCACAAACCGTTGATGATTTTATAGATCTGAAAATACCATTATGTTTCATCCCTAAAAAGGTAACTTTTGTTACATTTAACCGTCCTTGTACGACCTACCGTTACCGAGATAGCAATAGTGATATCAGCTAAAAAAACGGCCTGTATAAGCACTACCAACAGAAAGAGAAGGCTAGTCTAGTTGAAAGTGCGGTACAAATGAACTGATGAGTATCAGATTGAAGTTCAGTTGACGTTTTTGTATTGTGTAAGAAATTATTCTTCACCAACAAATATTCTGAATGAAAAATACAACAGACAAACAGTATACTATTCGTATTAAACATGTGACTATGTTTGAAATAGCATGGGCAAAACATTCTTTGGGACGAAGCGTTTCGTTGAACTCGGCCCACCACTATGCAGTTCTATGCCGGAAAACATAATATTTTTGTTGTCAACACGAATTAAAAATGGGGTCTTCCAAATGCCTGAGAAAATTATATATCGATACGGTCTAAAATTTCAAAACTACCGGCTCAATATGTCGAAAAATTTAACTTTTGAACACTAAGATTTATGAATTCCTGAATGAAATCCAGTAACATCATTTTGATTAAATGGTACTCTGAATGGTACCCTCAATGGTACCCACTTGTATTATATCAATGTCAGAATCCGTTATAAAAATAAAAATGAATGCTCGTAGGCATCCACGTACAGTTTTGTAACTGCTGTGGAGTTTACTGCTGTATATTGTTAGTTCTCTATTTGGCCTTGCAAATGTAATTTCTTTGAAATATGTATCCACATAATAAACATAATCATTATTTTTATTAAACTGGTCAGGTTCTATCTCAGAAGCTCCAGAACAGTCGAGAGCGCGCCAGCTTTATCGAACAATGATCACTCCCCACTATGTGGAGTAAGTGATCGTTGGGTCCGATAATCATGTGCCCTAAGCAGACGCTATGAGCCAAAAATGACAGTCTTCTGATATCTGTGGAGTTCGAAGAGAAAATCTCGATATTTCATCCGTTTTTTTCTCCTCTTTTCAATATTCTTCTCACCAGAAACTGAAAACTCCACTACAAATATCATCTTGCTCCGATGGTCGAGGAGAACTACATCAGGTTCATTACCTTGTGTGAGCCCGAAGATGGAGAATGAATAGTTCCAATAAATTCGACACTTTTCATTCCATACAATGGATTTCATATCCCCCGGAGCGTAGCGAATACCGTCAATACCGTAAAAGTGCCGTAGATGGTGATAAATCACTCTCAGGGCCGCGGTATGTCAATGGATATAGGCTGAGACTCCATATGCTGCACATGCTGACAGTAATTGAAGTGGGGTCCTGGGGCCCGGCACCTTGTTTAAAAAATCTTGTTTGAAAAATTGTGTCAAGAACTTCTGTACACACGCGACTGCGGTTGACTGAGGTGTTATAGAAATCCTCCTGGCAGGCCATGATGAACCCCTCAGTTTCCGACTTCAGCACACAAGGTCTCCTTGTTGTCGAAGGAAGTGCAGCTGTAGATCGGACGATTTGGGATACAAATTCCTATGGAGAAGTATAATTTTTCGGGTTTTCCCGTCGAGTTGATACAGTTCCTCTCGGGTCTATTTCACTACTTTAAACGAGTAGAGTAAGATTGGATCGGTAAGCATATTCATAAGAGCGAATTCATTCTTCTCTGAAAGTTCCAATGATCACATCTGTCGGAATTTGAGCTGATATTTGCCGTGGAGAGGGTTCTTCACTGCTCTTACCTCTTGTGAGTGGTGTTGTTCCACCCCGGGGTAAGTATACATCTCTCCGGCATCCAGATAGTGCAGAATGTTTCCATATACAAGTTTCACATCCTCTCCATGATGAACGCCGCTTCGTCCTCATTATTATAATTATTATTATTGAAATAACTGAATCATAATAAATCTCCTATTCAGGACAAACACAAACAATGGAAGTGAATATTTAAGTTTGAAACGGAAATTAAAAACAATCTTGTATATTTTTTTTTGTTAGGGCAGAAGGGTTCTAAATGAAAAACTGTGCTTTTTGTATTAATACAAACAGTTTGAATTAGAAGAATCGTTTTCAATTTAGTTTTTCATGTGATAAAACTGAATTATTTCCATCGAATTGCAATATTGTGAGAAAACGATCAAACAAATTCATGTTGATTACTTATATGAGAAATTTAACTTGATACCCTTTGCTCAACAGCAAAGACACACGTTTTGACAGAACGCCAATGCTAATTAACCATTTTGTGATGCCTTAGCAAAACGTAGACCGACTTTTTCCCTAGATTAAACTACAAATGGATCACAAATCATCTTTAAAATTCAACTTATCTGATCTTGATACTACTTACTTTTATGAGTAACTGGTAATTCAGATTGAAAATTCTAGCAAATCTGGAACTGTGCCAGTGACGAAGTGTTTTTCTTTCGTTTTCTACGTTCGAGATCCGGTCGGAATAATGTTTTGTTTTTCCGCTTTGTTAGAGAAAATAATACTATGATGTCGCACTTTTATAGAGGCACATAAAACAATAAAGTCATCATTCTAGCCACTAGTGCCTCAGAAATGAAAACAGAAGAGCACAAACGACATTGTGTGGCAATTACAGTTACATCACATTTCATACAAGACATAAAATGAAGATAATGTGACCATGAATCTGTTGGGAGTGTCTCCGAGAAGAGAAACACGTAGACAATGTCGCAGTAATACCTCAGATGATATGAAAGACGAGATTATTATTATATTGGACGAAAAATGTTCACAGGCTTTGTTGGATTGTTTTGCAATACAACACATTCAGGATGATATTCGAAGTCATTCATAAACTTCATAAACTGCACTTACGATTTTATTTTTACAAACTTTATTCAAATAAATATCACGACATGTTACGCTAACAAAGTAGCTTTTTCATAGTGAATTAAGTACTATAAGAACCCGATTGACTCGAAAATTCTGTGGCAAAATAAACTCCTATTTGATGCCGGGGGGGGGGTTCCTGATATTTATATACCCTACGTAATCACAATTGAGACTCTATTATGATTACCTGATGCAGATCACATCAATTCTACATCAATGATAATACTTCATCAGTATGAATTTGGATACAATGGAAACTAATAAACTTAAGAATTCGATCATTCTAATGAATGACCAACTGGATTTATTGAACTTGTTTTCTCAAAAACCCATGAAGTATTATTATTGATGTAGAATTGATGTAATACGCTCTATAGTGAAACCAATAATGATTGAGAGTAAAGCGCGTTGTCATATCTAAATTTTACGTTACCAGTTTATAGCAGAATCAAAATATAGTAAGCAGTAGAGTTGTAGGTTGTGGCAAATTATAGATAATACACAATACTAATACGATCAAAAGGTATTATTTATGACAAAATCAGTAATGACCTTGTAATGAGTAATACTTATACATTTCCTGATTACTGATCAGTTAAAATTCATTATTTTCTGTTTGGTGTTAGATATTTATTACAACTAGTGGCAACGCTGTACGCAACGATATTTCTGTCTTTGTTACTTTACCGTAACTTCCATCTCATCGTTGCAGTCCTCACTAATGTACTTGCAGCCATGAACGTATCATTGGTTTGTGAATTATACAGCGTGAATTGTACGTTTTACAGTTAAGTTAGTCAGCAATCGACGTGTTTGTGATAAAAATTGGTGAAAATATTAGTGCTAATAAGTGTTTGAGCGTTACATAATTATATTTCTACACCGTTCTCAAACTACTCAAAAAATGGGAGACATGGTCGGGCCTTCCACGTCGAAAAAGGTAAAACGGTCGGAGTCTCGGTCAGTAAGAGAAAAACAAATTGTACTGCGAGTATTTCACTGTCTTGAAAGAGATCATCAGCCACCAAAAGATGACTTTGTGCATATGTGCTGTAATTCTACATGTGTAACTCCGAATAACCAACCGGGCATTTCTACATCATTAAGTTCCACAATTACAAAAGATAAATTAGTTGATATGTGCTCTGATTATACCGGTGTACCAAAATCATCGATTTACAAAATACTAAGAGAAGCAGAAATTCATGGAGACGTACAAACGCCAAAAACTAGTAGCGGATGAAAAAAAATCACAGTTGATGAAGAAGCCAAAACCAGTATACGCAGAACTATTCACAGTTTCTTTTTCAGAAATGAGCTGCCCGCACTACAAACTGGAGGCACTTAGCGATCATGAATTGGTCCAAAAATTGGTAAAGAAACTTTTAGGAAACTTGTACACGAAATGAAATTTACGTACGGAAAAGTTGACAGGAAAGGCATTCTCATTGAACGTCAAGAAATAATAGCATGGGGAAGAAACTATCTAAGAAAAATTGACGAATTTCGGAAGCTCAAAAAAAATTGTACTTCATGGACGAGACATGGGTTAACCAAGGACATACGGTCAAAAAAGTATGGCAGGATGGTAATATAACAAGTGCACGACAAGCCTTTATTGAAGGTTTGTCAGTTGGGTTGAAACAGCCATCTGGAAATGGTAGTCGTCTGATAGTTACGCATATAGGAAACGACAGTGGATTTTTACCAAATGGTGAATTAATATTTAAATCTAAGAAAACAGGCGACTGTCATGAAGAGATGAATGCGGAGGTGTTTGAAAAATGGTTTGAAGGCATCATTCAACTTGTGGAACCTGGGTCTGTCATCGTCATGGACAATGCCCCATACCATGGTCGACATTTAGAACCATTACCGAAACAATCATGGAAAAAAGCAGCAATTCAAGAATGGTTAATTAATAAGAACATCCAATATAACAAAGATAGTTTAAAGGCAGAACTACTTCAGCTAACAAAATTACACACAGACAAATATAAAAAATTCGCAGTGGATGAAATGACGTTAAGTCGTGGAATTACAGTTTTAAGGTTACCACCATATCACTGCGAATTAAACCCAATAGAATTAATCTGTTTCTGCAGAAGACTGGAAAAAATGCATGCAGCATGTTTTAAAAGAGGAGCAAAAAATGTGGGACGTAGACAACCGTATTGAACACAATATTGAACCAATCATAATTCACCTTGATGATAGCTGTAGCAACAGTGACGAATCTGAGGTTGAAGATTAGACGAAAATTTGTACATTTACATTTATATTATATTCTATTATCAAAAATTTGTAATTTGTATTTTCTAGTACCCCTGACGATGAGTTTAAATTACTCGAAAGTATTACTCCGTTTTCATAAGGCCCACCTAATGACTACAACAATTAGGTAAATTACGATATTGCAAAGTTTTAATGAAATAAATAAAAAATGTGTATGAATATTTCAACTAATTGTACTAAGAATTTTTCTTTCATTCTTAACTCTCACAAAAATTAATAAGCACGCCCACGATATGCTGTCAACTGGGCTTACTTCTACTCTCAATCATTATTGGTTTCAGTATAGGTAATCATAATTGAAGATGTACCTCAGGTATATAAAAGTTGTAGATGTTTTAGGTAATTTGATCAAGTGAGTACCTAGGTAGGTAGTCTCAATTGTGATTACGTAGGGTATATGGGTGAAAATGAATTTAGAGTACTTAATTCATTACTTATTTCTTTAAATAACGTTTGTGGAGATCAAATCGTAAGTTGTAGTTTATGAAATTACTATAGATCATTATCAAGTAACGGCCGAATGAATCAGAAAAAAATATTATTGATAAGTTGATGAATTTCATTGAAATAAAATATTCTGACACTGAATTCAGTTGAATGTTAGATAAATATGAAAAAAGTAGAACCATATTTAGCTAAATAGAAAATTCTTCAAAAACAGTTAATATTATTTCTTTCATCGCGGTCGGTAGTAAGATTTTTCATTACAAATACTGTAATATCAAATAATACAAATGATGATACCTGTCACATATAGTCAGTGGGCATACTTGAAGACTGGCTACAAATCAAATCATCTAATAGAACAATTCCTTCAGGCCAGTCTCAACTCCCTACACTGTAGGTTGATACACTGACACCTGTCAGAAAAAAAAGATAAGATTTTGTCAATATTACCAATCAAAACTATCAGCTATAATTTCTTGTCGAACATGAAAATGTGAAAATGCTTTAGCTTTGTTCTTTGGAGACGGATCGAAACAGCGCCGTTATAGTTACTCGTAGATCGTTATTTCTTTCTGTATCTGTAGAGGGTGAGTGTAAACCCACAGCGCCTAGGCCACATGTGACCCATTGTACATCCTCCCGAGGAGTTGTCCTCCTAGGTCATCGTCCATGCTGTCCTTTCCAGGAAGGTGGACAGGTCACTAGGGGACATCTCCTTCATATCGGTAGGTGATGGCCAAGACTCGCCGAATAGATACTCTCTTTGGCAACCTTGAGGTGTCTTACTGCGGCCTTCGTGAAAGTTTTTGAAGGTGCAACGACATTACTATTGTTGCGCGGCTTCTTCAACCTTCTTGGGGTTCCCTCCGTGGAGGTGCTCAAATGAGGTCGCTTTCCTGCAGGGGAAGCCGGTTCCTTGCCTTTATTCAAGGCGGAGCTCTCGTGACCGCTGCAGGAAGTGTCCTTGCTGTTGGAGGTGGAGTGGGGGAGGAGGAGGGTGCACTTATAGTTGTTGCCTCTCCCGCCTCTTTCGCTACCCTGAAGAGCCATAAGCCTATAGAAGGGCCCTACACATTCACAATATTTTGTAAATACTCTCAAAAACCAATAAATATTTTTGACTTGACTTACCTCTTCTGCTCTTTTTCTCCTTTTGGCCTCGGCGCCGCCAATGCGCTTACGTCTTGGCCTTTGTATTATATCACGAGGTGATCTGCTATGTCCAGCCCCATTCCGAGCGGTAGATTGGGGTGGACATTTCTGTTAATCCCCAACCACCGCCATAGATTGAGGTGACCATTTCTATCCAGCCTCGGGATTGGTTTTCGGTTTTTGTTTTTTCTGTGTCTGTTTTTGTATTTTATTCATTCATGTGTGTTCTCACGAGTAGCAGGGAAAGAGTTGGTCACTCAAGCAGATATCCGCATTACCAGAGGAAGGCTGATTACAATGAGGTTTCATCCGGTTCCCCAAAGGGATCGTTCGTAACCGCATATCACCCTGCTGTCATTCAGTTGTCGGCACGATTCCTTACACCTTAGCTTGGGTTGGCTGGTCCACGGTGGCATGTTTTGCAAAGACTTTTGGGGAAGTTTGGTTCCCCTCACCCTACTTGGGCCGTAAGGCCACATTGGCTTCCCGGACAGGGCTTCCAATTCCCTGGCCGATCCCCTATCCGCCACTGGAGATGCGCCCGATAGGTAGCCCAGCCCGCGGGTCGTCATTTCCTTATTTTGCGATATGGTTTCAATTAGTTGCTTTCCGTGAATCTGTGGAAAGAGATAAAGTATTGCACCACAATGGTGATAATAGTTTATCAGCAAGGTACAAGTTTTCTATTATTCTCAGGGATGGTGTTAGATATCCGTGTTCACTTATACCCAGGTTTATCATTTCGAGACAATGAATACCAAGTGATAATATGTCAGTTTTGTTGCACCCATAACTTCAAGAAAAGTGTACACAAACCATAAACAATGGTTTGATGATACATGTAAAGCAGCTACTGATGAAAGGAGTAAAGCCTATGAGAAATATGTATTAGCTAATGAGGAAGGAGATTGGATCGTCTATAAGCAGGCTAGAAACAATGATGTGAAAATAGTGAACGTGTCAAGAAGATATTTCTTTGAACAAAAAATTTATGGGAATGAGGGTGATCCTAGGTTGATGTGAATGCACCTCAAAAAAATTCCAGACAGGAGAAATGTAAGCTCAATTTCCAGTCTAAACCACGAAGGGATACTTTATACTGATGAAATAAAAATCACTAATATATTGAACCAGTATCGCATAAATAGTATTCAAGATTTGTTTGAAGGTGATTGACAATGTTTCGTGATGAATTTCACTAGTTCGGACTTCCATTGTCTACTATATAAAATGATTTGAAATCCCTGAAACAAGTAAAAAAGAATAATTAAAAAA